CCTTTGGGCTTACATACATATTTTTTAAATTTACTAATATATGCCCACCTTTCAAAAAAATATCATGTGGGGGAGAGGGAGCTGATAAAAACACCCAGGATGACAGTGAATTTTATGAAATTGTCACCAGTATCCCTCATAAGTCAAGAATTCTTGCAGGGTGCCCTCACTGGCGTGGCTCAGTTGGTTGGGTGTTGTCCCACAAAGGAAAAGGTCACTGGTTTGTTTCCCAGTCCGGGCACAGGCCAGGGTGGCAGGTCTGGTCGCCATTTGGGCAACCAGTGGATATTTCTCTCTCACGTTGATGTGTTTCTTTCCATCTTTTTCTCTCTCACTTCCCCTCTCTCTAAAAATAAATAAATAACATCTTTTTAAAAAGAGGAAGAATTCTTTCAGGGAGAATCAGCCCAAAGGGGAAGATGTGGTGAGGAAAAGAGAAGGGCCCCTCTGATGCGGGTGGCAGGTTCCCAGAAATAGCCTCAGGTGCTGTGTTGGCCACCAGTTCCCCTGGCTTTGCCTGGGGCGCTGCCTTCACATCCTTCTGCTTATCCATCCGGTGGCCCCAGGACATCTTCACGCCAGCCCTGCCCCATCAGTCATGTCACATTTTTTTATAATTGCTTGTTCATTCACTGACTCTGGGAGACTCAAAGGCTCCTTGAAGGCAGAAATATCCTGCTTGGCATGTCTGCCTGGCACATAGTGGTCACTCAGTAAATATGTGTTGTTTCATATAAGTTTTCAATTTCTGGATTAGTTGGGGTGAAAGTGCTTTGGATTCACCCAACATTCAATTTTAATGATAAACAGGCTGTTCTGTTGGTTTCTAATTCAAGGAAGGGCTTAGATGGCCAATGGCCACTGAGAAGCACTTGGGTGTTACTAACAAGGAGAGGCGTTTTCATGTCCTGTTACCACCAAGTTCACATGGGTGGCATCAACCACTTGAACAGATAACCTCCACTGACCAGGCATGTTAAAATTTTAACAGAGTGTGGCAGGCTTGCCTGGGGCTTGGCCACACATCCAGTTGCTCGGAGTTAATGGAATGATTGCAGGTGGTATGCTTTGCCAGACTCTGTAGTTAAGGAAGATCGAAAGCAGCATTTCCAGCACTTGTGAGTGGCCCCAGCATGGCAGCCATATCTCAGAATCATGGGCTTCACTGTAGCAGACGTGCAGGGGTCTCTTAAGGACTAGCGGCGGGGAGAGCTGAAGGTTTCATGGGCACGGCTCATTGTCGACTCCTCTATGATTGCATGCACCACACCGGGGAGAACAGAAGTCAGAGGGCAAAGCACAGGTACGTGACCAAATAAACGAGGCAGCTAAGAAGACACAGCTGCTGGTCTGGGGCTTAGATGAGTGTTGTCCAAGGATCCACTTCCAATTAAGCCTGTCACACAGTAAAGAGTAATATTAGAGGGGTGGCCTTCTTAGACTAGTGACTTCTGGACTGGATCACTAGGATGGTTTGGATAGTTAATTCTAAATTCTATTTTTGGCCCTTTGGAGTGAAAACAGGAGCTCATGTGCTTGGCAACAGTTAGGAATTTTCCACTCATCCCCCATGTAGGGAGGCGCTGACCTAATGCTGGGCCAGCAGAGGAGGCCTGGCTCACAGTTCCACCATCTCACCACGTGCTCAGCCTGGAACTGGCTTAGGTGAGGGGACAAAGGGGAACAGTGGCACGAGGTCCTTTCCAAGGGAGTCTTCTAGATAACCTTACCCTGGGTGTTCAACAGAACCTAAGGGCCTAGCCAGGCAGCCCCTTGACAACAGTGGATGGAGGACAGCATTGCAAGGCAAGGAGAGGACAGCGAAGATCTCTTAAGCTCACTTCTTGCTGGGGAACAGCATCCCTGCAGTCACTGCAGTTGACTCATTCCACGGCAGGGCTGGGCCCATCACTCTGGTTTGGCCAGCATTAAACATATTGCTGCAGAGAATTCATAAATGAGAAAAGTTGATATTTCAAGAACAAGCACTTAAGGAAGGCCTGTGGCCAAACTGTACAGGCTGGCTTTCGCAAGCATAGTTCAGTGGTGCCAGACCCAAGCAGCAGTGAATTCACATGGAGGCCACCGGAGAGGGCCGGGGACAGCGGATAGGGAGACAGCTACCCTACCAGAAGTTACAGCTCCAGGCAGGCTACACTGGAAATCCTAACACCCAACAGGCACATCACCACCCTACACATCGTTCAGGTGGTGGGTGGGGTGTGATACAGCCAGGGGAGTTTTCCATCTGTTTGGAGTTTTCCAACCAGAGTGGTCAGAAGCTGACACTTCCTCTCTGCCATCAGCCATGGAGGTCTTCACGGTAAGAAGTGCTCAGATCCAGTCTTCAGAGAATGCAGTTTTAACCTTGATGTTCTGTTTATGTTAAGTATGGTTAGGAGAGGAGGATCTCGGTGTGTTAGTGTTCGATGAAGAGTATGAATTCTGGGTTAGAACTCCTGCATTTGCCAGTTCCTGGCTGCTTACATAACCATACAGCTCCAGTTTAGTCCTCCATGAAGGCAAACAGAAACCCAGGAGCCATTTGACAGAGGTGGAGGAGCTGGGAGGTCAAGGGCTTCCCTGGCGCTGTGCCTAGCATGTATGCTAATGTTCACATTTGAGCCTTCGGGTTTGGTGATCACCTTGGGCAGCTGACCCTTCCTTGGTAAGCTGTTTGATGACTGCAGTTTGAAACTGGCTGGTTTTATATATAGCCTGAGCTTGTGGAAGGGTGGGGACGGGCGTGGGGTGGCGTGGGCCATCTTCATTCAGTATTCTCAGTTTCTCTCAATAGCCTCTGCTTCCTGGAGAGGGTGCAGGGTCTGCAGTCTCACCTTTTCCTTCCTATTTTCCTTTCCTTCTCTTCCAATCTCTCTCATCTCACTTCCTAGTCTATCCCTTTCTTTTCTTGCTGCTTCCTTTTTTTCTCTACCTTGTGTTCCTCCTACAACAAAGATAGTGGAGCTGGCCAGGCCACAGGTATCAGAATTAGCTTTTCAACAAAGCCATCAAGTTCCAAAGTCTTCATCAGTAATCCTCATTAGAGTCAGCACTGTCTCAGCTGAGGCCAGTCCTGCTCCCTGCCAAGGACCTCAGGCCTCCCCCTCCAAAATGCCTGATTGTCCCCTGGCTGAAAAGTGTCTAGGGGTTTGTTTGGTTAGGAGAGGTCCCGCAGGTAAGTTATAGTCTTCCTCAGGACTTCTTTTCCAAAGGCTTCTACCTGGAGCAGAGGGAAATATTGGCTTTGGGTTAGAAATTCAAGCTCCTTTGTTGTTAAGTTTTGGTTGTTCACTGTCTAACCCCCTCTCAGCCTTCACACCTCTCCGCAATGTCAAGAGTGAACACTTTAGTGATGCTGTTTCTGGTCTGATAAGTACGGTGCGCTGGCCCTCTGGCTCTGCTGAGGGACTAAGGATGTGAACGGCCAAAATTATTCTTGATGGTAGAAATGAGGTAGTTTTTTTCACTAGATAAAGATTATTGTAGGGTGAATACTGAAATTTACCCTGTCCAGAATACCAGACTTTCTTAACTTGTAGTAATAAGTTGAATGTCAGTTGGCCATATTTTATAGAATGAACATATAATCCCAGTGACCGGTCTGATTGGAATAGGTTCTGGGTTCTCCAGTCTTTGAACTTAGAGTAGAATCAGAACAGAGCAAGGAAAGTGCTTTAAAAAAATTAAAAACAGAATGTAAAATTGGTATAACAATTATAAACACATTTTGAAAAGCACCTCCTATCTATAGGATGTTACCCAGTTACAAATAAAATTAAAGGAAACAATGGAGTTATAATAACAACTAAAACTGGTATAGAGCTTGCTAAGTACCAGACACCATTTTAACTATTTCACATCTATTAATTTATTTAACTCTCATAACAGCCCTGTGCAGTGGGCATGGCCTTTTGACTATCCTGGGACCATCCCCTTAACCTAAAGTGACACACATGTTACCCAGATCTAAACTCAGCAGACACAGAAACGAGACCAGAACAGCTGTCTGTTCAAGTTTGGCACATGTTCTTTGAAGGTGCTAAAATCAAGGTCAAGGGGGTTTAATAAAGAAAAGACATTCATTAGGCCTTGCCGATATTCATGCTAGATATTTGGTACACATTTTAGCCAATATTCCCTCTTAGAAACGTTTGCTGTGGGAGTACATTCTTCAGAATCACAGAGACTTTACATTTTGGGGATCTGTAACTTGAAGAGAATTTATATGGTACATGTTTCTTGTTATTATAGTAATAAAATGATAAGAAAGGTAAATACTTATGGTAACTCAATAACAAAGATTGTATGTTCAGCATTGCTTCAACTACTTTTATGTCATAGGAAGCATTGATTTGAACTCAACTTAGTTATTTAGCTACAAATAACATTCTTTGTACTAAATGATACTTCAAGTGTGAGATTTCCTCTTATTTCTTCTATCGATACAGAATTCAACACAAAAAACTTTGAAGCCTTTCATTTTGTTGTTGGTCTTACTACTGAGATGTTTTATGTTACCTTGTGCCCACTATTCATTAGGGAACTGGCCATGCGTGTGTGGACAAAGGGTAAGTTTAAGAGGGCAGTGGGCAAAATTTGCCTCTTAGAGCAATGTGACATGGACAGTTTCATGGTCAAAAATCTTATAAAAGGATTAATAATTAACAAGGTATAATAATCCATAATAGTAATTAATGCAAAGGATATAGATATGCAAAAAAAGTATCGAAAGATGATCTATACAAGAGCAATATAGAGAAAAGCACAGCCACTGGTATAATTAATATTATATTGCAAGCTTTGTGTTTTGAATGTGATCCAAATGAATGAGTCAGATTTGGCTTTGTAAGTTTTTATATACTTATATAATTAGAAAATTATCTCCGTAAGGGTTAGGCTTATAAATATTTGCTTAATATGATCCATTAATTAAACATGTGAAAGTGCTTATGGAGCATAAAACTAGGAGACTCTTGGTGTCCGTTTTGTTTTTTCAGAGTGAAAGTGCCCTTGTGAAAGGAAAGGAGCTGTCAATCGAACTTGCAAACATCAGGGATGAAGTTGGTAAGTAGGGCCTTGGAAACAAGGAACGTACAGAATGTCTTCTGATACCTGTGAGTGTGTAACAAAAGCAATTAAGTCTCATGTAATAAGCTGGAGCAAACCTGCCCAGACAATGAAGTGTCTTACCCAGCACAGCAGGGGGCTATTACAGCCTTGCAGGGAGCCATAATTTTTACATCTCTGTGGTCATAAAGACAGCTTCGTAACTGTTCACAGTGGAGCTAATCAGGCCCTGATTGCTCCTCGCAGATGGCAGCCCATCCATCATCTGTATTTGTGCTGTGACAAGCAGCGGATTGTTTAGGCTTCCCCTGTGCAGACAGAGCTCCAAGAGAAGCAGCCCAGGTTTGGTGGACTACACGAGGTGCCCTCTGAAGCATGCAAGTGTTCCGTGGCTGCCTGCCACTTCCATGCTGTAACCTGCCACGAAATACTCTGGGACATAGCACAAGGTCAACAACACAAGCTTGACTGATTAAAAGGCAGAGGTTTGTGTTGAAACTCCCAGTCTTCTGCTGATTGGATGGTGCTGTTCAGTCTGAACCCTAAGAAACCTCACAGATGACAAGCTGGTGCCCAGATCCTGGGGCTTTCACTTAAAGCCGAAGAATTCTCTCTTGAGGACCTGTTTGTTATTCTCTCCCCCCAAGAAACAGTCAGCAAAGGTGAAATACCCGTAGTTTTTCCCTTGGCCTGCTACTCTTCTCTTTCCAGCGAGCATTGGTTCTGCAGCCAGTGTGGTCCTGGTCACAGCCTCCTCTTTGCAGGTGTGGTTCCCTCCAGGAGCAGAGGAACTGGGACAGTCCCAGCCACCCTTTGCCTCCAGGCCAGTCATGCATGTGGGATTGAGTCTGAAGGCCAGACATTTCTGGGGAACCTGCCCCTGAGGATGTGCAGTGGACAGGGTAGTGATGGCCAAACATAGCTTTCCCACCCCTTTTTTCTTAACCTTAAACATTTTTTCTTCATTGTGATTTTTGTGACTTCTGTTGTCATTGAGAGGGGTCAGCAATGGCTGCTTCTCCCCTCTACGGAAAACAGAGCCCCTGTGGGAAAGCAGGAAATAATAGCTCTCCTTCCCAGCCTCTGCTTCAGGACACCTCCACTTGGGCTGCACCAGTTGGGGAGCCCTGGGGATGAGCCCCACAGGTTTTCTGAGGAAGGTCTGCCAGCAACAGCCAAGGCAGAGCCTGGGCAGGAATCTCCCAGGAGCCAAGTGTCCACAGGGCCTGTGCTTTTCCCTGAAGTGAAGGAATGCTTAGGTGGTTCCGAGCATGGACTTTGCAGACACGTGACCCATCTGGTCAAGCAGGGCAGGTTGACTAACCTCTCTGTCCCTTGTCCCCCTTTGTAAAGAGGAAAGTCAGATAAAGAAGAGACTGGTGATGAAGCAGTCTGTGAAGGCGACTCTCATTACCATTAGGTTTATAGTGCCTTCCATCTGAAAACAGAGAGGAAATCTTCCCCCTTAGGGTGAATCCTTCCCCACAGGGATGTCTACACCCCTTTGGCCAAGCTGTGGATCTGCAGTGTCAACTTGACCCATCTGGGTGAGGTGGGCTGAATCCAGGACAGCTTCCTCCATCCTTTCCAGAGGCTTCTAAATGCATCAGGAGCCTCACAAAGGTTACATTGAGGGCTTTTTTTTTTTTGTATTTAAGTCTTATTTCATTTCTGCATTAGTGCTATGAATAGAAGCAGAAATTGCCTGCCAAATGGAAAATCTACAGGATGGTGGGGGAGGGTGAATGGTCTTGTCAGTCCCACGGCCCCGGCCACTCAGCCCTGCATCCAGCCCCAGCAGCGAGGCTCCTGAGCCTCTTTAGCAGCAAGCACCTGAGCCTCTGTAGAGACTGCACTTGTGATGGAAGAAAGACAGGGGAATATTGGCTCAACGTTAACTGAAAATCTATAAATTCCAGTGTCTTGACCTGTATAGCATTCCCCTGACAGGAAACAGAATTAAGCTTACAAACCTGATTTACAAATGATCGTAGATAAAGAGAGATGGTCAAGCCAAATAGAAACTAGGAACTTACAAAGATTGTGAATTCAGACATGGAAGAGGGGAAGAAGCTGCAAAAAGCAGGTTGTAGCCTGCAATAGGGCAGTCCTCTGAATGGGGCTAAAATACAGCCCCACTGTGCCCCATTCTGTGCTGGCTGGCATGGGGCTGCTGCCGCCAGACATGGGGCTTTTTTTTCCGTTTGCCCAAAGGTACCATCTGAGCCAGCTGTCACCCAGTGCTATGTACCATTAGTGGTGACTAAGACTCAATTCTTGTCCTCAAGGATACAACCAAAGGCTCCACGGAGGAGCGGCTGTCTGAGATGGGCCTTGTAGGATGACTGAGATCTGGGTAGACGCATGTAGGAAGGGAAGGAATGCAATTACTGAGCATGTCCTGAAGGCTGCCGCCCCAGTGAATGGGCCCTGGACCAGTGGGTGCCATGATCATTCTTCAGACATCACTCATTCTGCACACTTACAGAAAGAAAAAGTATTTATTTCCCTGTGCCTTTTTCTGTGTATCAAAAAAAGCTTTCCATGCCTGACATTAAATAGTTACAAAACATTTGATCATGCTAATTAACTAGAATAAGCTACTCTTCCCCTTCAAGTATTTGGGGTTTTACCAATTTTTGCTATTATGCAACAACCAATGTACTATTTGCAAATTACTTTTTTCCTCTTGTATTATTTTCCTGGAATATATTCTCAAAAGTATGGACCAATAGTTTTGATAGCATTTGACATTTGTTCTGAACTCTTCTGTGTGTGAAATGTTATTAGTATTGAATATTTATTCTATAAATTAAGGTAAAAAATTATAGTGGATCTAATCTCATTGTATCTAGTATTGCCTTATAAAAAAGAAACTAAATCAATCTCTCTCACTCTCAACTCTGCCCTCCCAACCCCTGACACATACATCTGAGAAGAGACAGATAATATCCAAACATGTACCAGGGAATAGTTCAGATGGAGCTTTTTGTGGTCCAAGAGTAGGGTCCTTGCGGAGTGGCTGAAAATTACTGTCAGTTGTGTTATGCTGTATTCTCTATGGAGACAGAGATCTCTGGTCATCCTCTTGAAAATGTCTCATCCTCCAGTCCCCCTCCCAGGGTGATGGCTCTTGCCTTGTCTTTGGAGTCAGCCTTCACCGGGTTCACTTGGAAAAGCCTTCCCCAGCGACAGTATTTGAGGTAACGAAAGGGCACAGGGATCTCTGGGAAACCAGGACCCAGCGCCACACCCAGGAAAGGGGGAGCAAAATTGCTAGTAATAGGTTTATATTTGATTTTTATCACATTTTAGAATTTCTTAGAAACTGTAATTCTTAAAATATGAGCCTTGGTCTTTGGATAGACTGTCATTCTCTGAATTTGTAAGTCAAATATTGATTAAGTTGAAGGGTCACTCTCACATGTGTAAATGCTGAAATAAATGTATAAGAGTTTTTCATAGGAGCAGAGTACCTTTTGAGACCTTAGGATTCAAGTTGTTACCATATTTTTCAGACTATAAGACACATGCCCCCCGCCCCAATTTGGGAGGAATAATGGTTGTTAATGCTGCTGTTCAGTTCTGTTTACATTTACATTGGTGAAATATTATGTTATTTATGTTATTAAATATCTTACCACATTTTTGCTTCAATTTTTTTTCCTATTTTCCTCCTCTAAAACCTAGGTGCGTCTTATGGCCCGAAAAATACGGTACCTGCCATCAGGTGGATGTTTATGATCCTCTCTCGGCAAATCTGCCTTATTAGAAAATCCGAGCCTTAAAAAAGTGCACATTAGATGAAGCCCACCAGACAGAAAAATATACGCAGTGCGTAATTAGGTTCAGAGGGAGCCTCTGGCTGACGCCCCTCGTGGGCCCTGCTGTTCTCCTAGCCAGACGGCAGTCCCACTGAGATGTACGTGCACGCTGGAGTGGAAATGACACTAACTCCACTACCAGCCTCTGGGCTGCTCACAGCCGTGACTACCTGAATCTGGTGTGAAATGGCCACTCATCTTAGAGGTCCTCAGTCACCCCAGCTGTCCTCCTTCTGGTCTTATTCACCTGCCACTGCTCCCCAGGCCCCAAGGCTGATGGACAGACAGGTGGCTTCCATCATCTCTCTTAGCCCTCTTCCTCTCTCAAACTTGTCACAACATGTGCTCTGCCTGTTCCCACCCCAAGGCAGATCCTTTGGATTTTTATCTTTCTGCCAGCTTCAGACTTAAGATGGCCTTAAATTTCCGTCTCTATTGAATACTTTAAAAATGCTTAGTATAAATATAGTTTTAAAACAGAAAGCAATATTAAACAAAGCAATCATTCTGGAAGAGTGTCTCAGGTATTATACAGAAAACTAAAAGGTTAAATCCACATTTCGATTAAAGTCAGCCTATTGAAACACAGCAAAAAAACCCTGGATATTCTATAATATAACAAAGAGATATTAAAGATTCTGATAGCTTTGACATGAAGGTATGATAGGAATCTATGTTGTTGTCAATATACCACAAATTGTTGTATATTTGTTTTTGTTACTGACTCGAATGGATTTTTCCATTTATTCTCATCTGTAACTAGCAACCCACACATACATACAAATGCTACTGCAAGTGCATTTGTGGGATGATTTTACCTGTCAGGGTTATGCGTGACATTTGTCTTCCAACTTTATTATCATAACCCTGTACATATACATTGTGCTTAGTACTTACCAAGCTCCATCACAAACATTTTATTTATTCATTACAACAACTCACTGAAGTAGGTGTTGGTGCCCCTGTTTTATAGGAAATTGAGGCACCATAGGAAATCAGACAGATTAAGTAACTTCCCCAAGCACACAGCTGGTGTGGGACAGAGGCACATCTCAACCCAAGTCTCCGTCTTCCACACAGAGTATGGAAGATTTCCATGGCACGTCGGCCCTACCACCAAATTATTTTTTTAATTTTTAATGTAGTACACTGGAAAATCTGGTAAACAAAATA